TACGCACCTGCGCTGAAGACATCACCACGGAGAGAGAGAGTTGAGTGATACGAGATTGGTTGTGCGGTCCAAGACGAAGTAGCGGCCATAGCCGCAGAGCTTGGACACGGGGTTGACGAAGGAAGGAGAAGTGGAGAAGGGAGGAGAGACCGGAGAGGAAGAGGAAGGCATAGCTGAGGAAGGAGGAAGGAGGGACAACAAAGTAGAAGACAGACATAGCCGAGGGTGAAAATATATATATATATATATATATATATATATATATATCCGAGAAAGAAGAAAGGTGAAGGAGGGGGAAAGAGAAGTGGAGGGTGGCGAGGAAGAAGGTGCCGGCTATTTGACGATATATATATATATATATATCCGAGAAAGAAGAAAGGTGAAGGAGGGGGAAAGAGAAGTGGAGGGTGGCGAGGAAGAAGGTGTCGGCAGCCATAGCCGACTCGGAGGTTGACCGGGCGTTGACCGGGCGTTGACCGGAGCGTTGACCGAGTTTTGACCGTGTTGACCAAGGCGTTGACCGGAGCTGTTGACCACGCTTTTGACCAAGCTGGAGTTGGTATAATATCGCCAAGCCCTTAGCCTATCCCCTCGCCCTATGGATGTGCGCTCACCCTATGGTACTTGCTGAGTCTGAGTCTGTCTGTCTCTTCTTTCTGCATTGAGTCTCTTCTGGCCAGGTGATAGGACTCCGTGTATGAAGGATAGGGCCTCGTTGACCAAACCCACACGGGCTGAGTAGGGCTAAAGACTGTGTCTGACGACTCGACTGTCCCGGAGGACACAAACCCTCCCAAGGACCGGTACTGATCGGCGGGCTGCTCGGTGTGGCACGGTAGGCCCAAAATCCGAGTTGTGGGCTACACAACGGGCCGTCTAAGTCTTGAGAGAACCTGCTGACCACGTCGTCCTGTCTGCGACGTTAAAGAATTCCTGAGGAGTTACGGGGGATCTCCTTAAATGCCTCCTGGTCAGCAACAGGTTCTGTAGTGATGGCTGTAGTGATTAGAGTCTAGGCTAGAGACCACAGTTGATAGGGCTCTCTACGAACCCTGTGGTCCATAGATCGAGTCAGTCTTAAGTTGAGTCAGTTAGGGAGAGAGTCTAAGTGGTGAGGAGCGGAACCATCACTTGGTTGTGCGACTTTCACCATGGTTGACACGCGTAGTGGCTGGAGCACCTCCCCTTACACAGTAGAACAGGAGGCGAAAGCCGCTGCCCGCCTGAAGGAGAGAAGAGAGAAGAAGGAGGCTAAGAAGAAGGCCCTATTGGAAGAACAGGCGGCGAAATTAAAGAAGATTGAGGAGGAGATGGTCAGAGAGAGGGAGAGGCTAAAGAGAGAAGAAGAAGAGAAGCTCAAAGCGGTAGAAGAGGAGGAAGAGGAGGACGAACAGCTACAAGAAAGGCGAAGGGCAGGAGGAAGAGGTGAATCCAGTGGTACCAAGGAAGACCAGATGGAGAAGAAGATTACGGAGTGGGTTGCTGGCCTATCCCTGGGAAAAGAAGAAGAGGCACTGATGTATGTGCCCAGGGAAGAACAAGAGGCCGCTATGAGAGCGTGGGATGCCGAAGAAGACCCACTCAAGCGGCAAGCTATGGAGGATGAGAAAAGGATGGAGTGGAAATTCCGATTGATGAGGGAGAGGAAAAGAAGAATGGATGCGGCGAGCGAGGCGGCGAAAGAGTTGGAAGAGGTGAAGAAGCAGAGAGACCAGATGGCGACGCAAGTAGACTTGTTGGGGAAGATGGAAGTAATGGCGAAAAACATAGAGCGCTTGGCACGGGTCCAGGAAGAACAATACCTGTTTGGTAGAGGTCAGGACATTGCTGTACGCTCTCAGGCAAGCCCTCGAACATTGGAAGCACTACTTGCTTGGGAGGCACTTTAAAGTTTATTCAGACCACGAGACAATAAGGTGGTTGAAGACTTAGGCCAATATGGCACCTAAGTTGACTAGGTGGGCCGTAGAGTTAGACCAATATGATTTTGAGCTCAAGCCAGTCAAAGGGAAGTATAATGTAGTCGCGGACGCCCTGAGTAGGAGAGCTGACTACTTTGGAGCGATAGTTCATTATTTGGATATAGTGAGAGACCTGCAACAGAAAGTTAGAGAGGCGTATGCGCAGGACCCTATCTACAGTGACCTCCTTAAGAGAGTAAAGGAGGCCCCAGAGTCAGAACCAGACTACCGCACTACTGATGGGCTACTATTCGAGAAGACTAACGTAGTTGACCGCTTGTGCATCCCTAACAGCGAAGAGGTCCGTATTTTGATCCTAGGGGAATGCCATGATACTGAGGGACATTTTGGTTGGCAAAAGACTCTAGCTAACCTCATGCCCTAGGATGAAGGCCGACTGCATAGAGTATGTTCGGAGTTGTAAGGTCTATCAGAGAAATAAGACCTCTACGCGTGCCCCTCTAGGTCTTCTCAGACCCTTGCCTATTCCTGATCAGCCAGGAGATTCAGTGTCCATTGACTTTATGGACACCCATGTCAAGAGTAGGCACGACAAGAGCCAAGTCATGGTAATAGTTGATAGATTCAGCAAGTGCGTTGTTTTTGTCCCTTTGCCTTCAGAGGCACGCACATAATTAGTGATTCGGAAGTTCTTTGATCATTGGGTCAGTGAACACGGGATTCCACTGTCTATAGTTAGTGACAGAGACACCCAGTTCACTAGTCAGGACTGGCAGGAATTGATGAGAGTCTATGGCTCCAAGTTGTTGATGTCATCAGGTCTTCATCCAGAGACTAACGGTCAGACTGAACAGATGAACAAGATCCTGCAACAAGTTTTGCGTATGTACATTAGACCGGATCAGATCATTTGGGATGTGATGTTACCCAAAGTAGCCAGTGCGTACAACAACAGTGTACACTTATCTACCTGTCGCACTCCCAACGAGTTGCACAAGTCCTTTAGACCACGCAGACCGTTTGAAGGACTTAACCGGGATCAGATTTACAGGCTACCGCCCGGTACTAGGGAGTTTGCGTCACAGCATGAGAAAGAGTTGGCTACCGTAGTAGAGAACCTCAGGAAAGCCCATCACCGAATGATAGAACAAGCTAATAAGCACTGTCGCCCCTCACAATTTCAAGTAGGTGACCTGGTCTGGGTCAAGTCTAAAGAGTTTGCTCCTGAGGAAAACATCTCGCAGAAGTTTACTGCCCGCGTATAGAGGACCGTGGCCAGTTCTAGAAGTTAAGGGCGGAGAGGATGGACCGTCCTACACAGTAGAGATCCCAGCACACCTCCACACCTACCCTGTTTTTCATGGTTCAAAGTTGTTGCCGTGTGTCACAAGTCAACAGTTTCCATCTAGAAGATCCATGATTCCTCCAGACATGGACGGAAGGTACGACATTGACGGCATTGTAGGTGAAGACGTGTTCAGAACAGGAGGTAGAGGTCGTCCGCAAAAGCAATACAAGGTTCGGTTTGCTTATCAGGAACCAGAGGACGACCGCTGGTTTACTTGAACAGAACTCCTAGAAACAGCTCCCGATGTAGTTAGAGCCTACGAGAGAGATAAGAAAGGTAAAGGCCCTGCCTTGGACTGAGTTATTCTCGGAGGACCTCGAATTTAGGTCGGCGGGAGTGAAACGGTTTTCACCTGTTAGCAGTAGCGAATGCAGATCCCAGGGCTCGATCCCTAGACCTCACCTCACCTGTGTACAGTATCGAGTTGATCCCTGAGTGTTTGAACCCATGACCTGTGTTTTGTCCGTTGTTGTTTGTCTGTCGTAGGACTGTGTAGATGTAGGGATTCGATCTGTAGATCTGTCAAGTAGGAGTCACAGGTCTGTAAAGGTCGTAGCTATAGGTATTCTGAAAGGTCAAGGTCGTAGCTGCTACAGTCCTGAAAGGTCAAGGTCGTAGCTGCTACAGTACCCGAAAGGCCAAGTCCACAGACTTCCGGAAGGTCCCGGAAGTGGCCTTTCGGAGTGGGTTCACGTTTAGGCAGAGGCAAGTGGTGGAGCCAACCTCAGTAGGTTGGCAGTGCGACTGCAGTGAGTCTGCGGTGCAAACCCATGCAGTCAGCGGTACCGGTCCAGTCAGTCCCAGTCCAGTCCAGCAAGTACCACGAGGGACTGYGTKCACCCTGGGCCGATGGAARAGGGCAGACCAGCGAGTTWCAGAAGTATAAATCAAGMGGCAGCACCCAGCCATTCATGGATTCCTGCGTAAGCCATGCSGAAGYGCTGCCATAGCGACTTGTGCGAGGTGGTCYGCAGTGAGCCCGAGGACGAAGTGGGCGAGAAGGAAGTTAGCCATAGCGATAGGGTAGCAGCGGCGATAGCCGCCATAGCTGTAGGTGTGTGCAGGTGTGTACGAGTGTGCAGAGTGAAGCGTGTGGGATATCCAGGGTGATCCRGTGTGTGACAGCAGCGTTGTGTGAGTAACGAACAGAGATTTGTGTAGGCGCTGATGAGCCATAGCCATCTGAAGTGAGATCGTATCTGAACTGTGTTCTTGGTTACCATATCGCTGAGTTTTGGAGTGGGAGCTTGTCGCCAGTTTGCTGCGCAACCTGTTTGCATGCATATGAAGTGTGAATGAAAACGAGTCTGATTGCAGTACAGTGTTTCAGGCTTTATGCCATGGGCACTATGCCAGGAACGAAGACTCTTTTTCTTCTCAGCTTGAAGGTTGAGCTTAGGCGCAGAAATTTCCCTGATTGCTTTTTCGACAAGGCCCTGTTCCACTTCAATAACAAGATAGGAGGTGCATGGGCCCCTTGGATCAAGTGTTTTACCGGTTGGAAGTTTTGGTAAGTAGGTTCGTCCCAGTTGTTTCTTTTTCTCTTTCTGGTTCTATTTGGTCTCCTTTTTTTTAGACCTAGTATAGGCTTCTGGTACCTGGTTGGTTTTTCCCATTCGTGGTACCTTCAATTTTTGGCAGGGAAGTTGGTTTTCGTAGTCGGTAGCAGTATACATTCCTTGTTACTCTTTTCATTCGACACCCAGCACACCCCTGAGGAGTCCGGTACTCTGGCGAGCCGGATGAAACAGCTGTCGGGTTACTTCGCCAGCTGCACTTCATGCGATGGCGGTTTTACCGTCATCTTTCTTATTCTTCATTGTTATATCTTAACCGAGCTGATGTGCTCAGGGTTTTTACTCTACTTCTCCTTTTCTTTCTTTCCTTCCTCTTCCCCTTCATCCTTCCCCCGTGTACTCATCCTAAGTGTTATCACACAATGGTTCTGTCTTAGCATAGAGCTTGAACCTCTACTGTGACACACACATAGCGAACCGACGGGAATTCTTACCCATTTGAGTGACTATGTTCCAACCTAATGCTTAAACGCTTAGTATTGGCCTTCTTCCTTTCTCCCCTATTCTCCACCTTCCTCCTTATTCTTCTTCTCTCCCTTTCCTCCTTCTTCTTCCTTCAATTTTTCCTATTCCTTTAGCACGACAGTCAAGGACGCTATAGTCCCTGAAGGATGTATCGGCAGAGTATCTGCCATTTTTGTCAATTGCCTGGGCACTTCATCAGGGAGTGTCCCTTTCAGAACGTCCCGTATTGTTACATACTGCGCCTGCAAACAATGACCATTTTCAGGCCCTGTGTCGTTTCAGCCGAAAGCCTGAAAACAAGGGCCTACAGGCCCTGTGTCGTTTCAGCCTGAAAGCCTGAAAACAAGGGCCTACAGGCCCTGTGTCGTTTCAGCCTAAAACAGGGCCCTCCAGGCCCTGAGTCTTTTCAGCCTGAAACGGAGGGCCATTTTCAGGCCCTCATAGGATCGACCTGCCCTAAAACTTAGGCACCAGACCAGGGTTTTTTAGCACAGGCCATTTTGGACCTGCTTTCAAGACAACCTTTGTTTGAACTTCAACGCCAGGGTCTGGCACGTTTTGGCATTGGCAAGAGCAGCCTCCTGGACGGGCCAGTCTTAGGCCAGCACTATATAAGACTGGCCCTCCCTGCAGGCTGCAGGTAGTTCATAGGGACTTACCAGGCACTTCACGTGCAGTTCAGGAGGCAGGAGGTAGTCTTCAGGATTCGGCAGCAGCACTCTGGAGGAGCGCTGCAGTAGTAGTAGTAGCGTTAGCAGTAGTCTTGAGCGCTGGGCGCTATTAGTAGCTAGAGTAGCACTGGAGAGAGATAGAGATTGCGCGGAGGCCAGGGAGACTTACCTGCAGCTCCATAGCTCCAGCTCGTCGTCGAGGTACCTGCAGCACAGCGCCATCTTCGCAGGTTAGTACCTGGCACATGAGAGAGGGAGAGAGAGAGTTCTTCTTCCTCTTCTCAGTCCACCATCTCCCCCTCACCCTCTCGCTACCTGACTTCACTGCATCAGCAGACTACGAGAGAGCGGGATTGGTGACATTTGGATCCGGACTCGACATTGGGCTTCAGACATTTGACGAGGGATTATCTGGGACTTGTACCGACGACTTGGTGTTGACGACATTCCCATCTTCCCCCTCTTCTTCGTCTGATCCCCTCCTCTTCGTCTGTGTATGGTCTGGACCTGGCGCATTCTTCCTGTGTGTAGCGCCAGGCCCCTTCACACCTTGTGACGAGGATGATGTATGTTTGGTCTGCATTGCGATATTGATTGGGCTAGTCATTGGTATTCTTGCATTCTGCTGCGCTGTCTTGTACTACATGAGAGAGGTCAGTCCCGGTCAGGTCAGGGCTTATATCTAAGTCTTCCACTACGCTACAAGGTGCCATTTTGTATGTACCAGGATGTACATTGCTTGTTGGGATTCCACTAACACTGTCCATTCAGTCCTTTTTATCACATTGCGGATCCTTGGCTATACATACATTACCCAAATGGGCATGTAACACGTATGGAGCAGATATGGCGGCAAGGATCCGGAGCGACAGACATGGTTCTTCCAACGATTCTTTGTCCTCAACAAATGGAGCAATTCTGCTGGCGCCATTACTCGGTGGTAACACGGCAAGTAGCTCAAAGGCGATCGTTCCGTATCAAGAACCTCAAAGCATGAACTACGGTGGCAATGAGAGAAGCTACAATGGAGGGTACAACAACAATCGAGGCAACAATGGTGGTTATAACGGGGGTAATAATGGGGGTTATAACAACGGGCAAAGATATTCACGAAACTGGTCGGGTGGGAACAGATCTCAGGATGATAGGGTTGATAAGATTTATGGCTTGCTCTAGGAGCAAGCGGAGGAGCGTGAGGAGCGGAAAAGGGAGGCAGCCAGATTGGCTTCGCTTGAGGATGAGAAGAAAAGGGTGCAGGCTGAGGAGGAGAGACGTGCTGCAGAGAAGAAAGAAAGAGAGCAGCAGGTGATCTGGCTTGGACAGATTGTACGAACCAACGTCAAAGTTGTGTGCGAATTGGCGCTAGGGCGTAAGGTTGAATTACCTGGGGAGGAAGAATCAAAGATTAGTAAGCTCCGGAAGGAGCTGGATGATCTTAAATCGAAGTGTGCTAGTAGTTTTGTGCCTTCTAACCTGGACACTCTTCGCAAGGAGAAAGAGGCTCTACAAAAAACACAAGAGACGGGTAGTGAGGAGGATAAGCTTCGGAGGGAAATCGAAGAATTGAAATCAAGGAGCTGCCAATCGCAAGGGTCTCAACGGGACAAGGACCGAATACTCGCTCTGCAGTTACAAATTGACGAACTAAGTGGGATAAGGAAGGCCTTGGAGGAAAAGAGTACGGAAGTGGCGATGCTCAAGAAGGAGAATTCGCATCTTCGAATTGAGGTCAAGGACCTCTAGGACGAATTTGTCAGTATTTGAAACAGCAGAAAGAGAACCGCAGTGGAGGTGGTGGAGGAAAGCCCTCCTGAAGCTCCGTCGCGAGGGAAGCAGAAAGCCGAGTTGCAGACTAATGCCATGTACATGCCCAAGGATATGGATGGGTTGTACAAGGCGTACAAAGAAGCTCTGGCAGTGAAAGAGATGGCACTTAGAGAGGCTGAATGCCTTAAAGAACGAATGGTGAATGCAAGCGCCTCCAAGATTCAAATGTCATTGCGGAAGTCCGTAGCAGCCAAACGAACGACTCCGAGAAATCTGAAGACCACTCTTGATTTTGTCGACATCGATTCTGACGATGAGAAAGAGGGTGAAGAAAACATGCAGAAAGAGGGAAAGATTGGTGGGATTGTGGATGTGGCTCATGAGTTGGAGAAAACTAAGCTTCAGAGCTTTCGGGAAAAAAGGATGAAAGAGTTGAGATCGGGGAAGAAGCATGATTTAGAAGAAACTTCGCAAATAAGAGGGAATTTCATACATCAAGCTAGACCAGGCGAAAACGGACATCGCTGAGATACGAGCCAGGCGTGACTTCGACGAATGGGTCAAATCGAAATCGGCGCAAGACGATCAGGATGATCAGGATCTGCAATACTCCACTTCAGTTGAGGGTCACAACGATGGCCAGGGGGACTCCCTAAGCGCATCGTATCTACTATCTATGGAATCTTGCATTATTGTGTCGTGACTATCGAGGTTCATTGCCTAATGAAGAAATAATGTATATTTTCAGGCTTGTAGTTATTCTTTTGATTATCTCTGGTCAGATTAGATGGGGAGATAAATTATAGTCTCTTCTTTCCTTGTTGATTAACTCTAATTATGACTTTCGTTTCATGTCCTGGTCCTGTTATCTATGCTATTCTGTTATCTCGATTGGTGCTCGTAGGAAGGAGCATGCTACTTCAACTCTCTCCTCCGGTTGTTGTAGAGCCAATCACAAGCTTTACCGTTGGCTCCAACGAGTTAATTTGGACAATTATATTGCTATCCCTATCTTCGCTACTAATATTGTGGATCTTTTACCTTCTGGATGTTCCTTTATCCGCGCCTTCAATCCTTCCCTTAATTCAACTTCTACTTTTAATCATAGGAAATGTCGTAAGACTTGTCGAACTGGAAAAGGAGAAAGACTTCGCTATCAAAGAAGGGTTAATCGCATTCCTCCATCTAATCCGGTTCTCCCCCTCCTCCCCCCTGTCGCTCATTCCTGTTCCTCTCTACCGTTACCGTGTTTTTCTTCCCCTTCTTCTCCTCCTTCTCCTCCCCCTTCTCCTCCTCCTTCCTCTTTCCTTTTTCCTTTTCTCCTTCTTCTTCTTTTTCTCTTCTTTCTTCCTTTTCTCCTCCTTCCTTTCCTTCTCCTTTTGTTGCTCCCTTCACTCCTTTACCATCTAAACCTATTCCCTTGGCTATCCCTTCCCTTCCACCTCTTCCCGTCAATAATATCCCCCTTCGTTTTCCTCATCCTTAGGTACTAACTCCATTAGTTTATCTTTGATTCTTCAAGATGCATTTAACTCCCACGCTACCACCCCTTTCTCCATCTTTGTTGTCACGGGTGACAAATCTTCGGACTGGAAACTAGTCAAACACTTATTTGGTTCTTCGATCGTTTTTGCTACTAATCTACCCATTTCTCTTCTTAAACACTGTTGACCATGGTTCAAATCTAGTTTTTTTTTTACTATCCACAAACGTTCCCGTTTTTGTTCCCGCTCATCACAAATTAAGGATACTTCAATTTCCCTCCTTAGTACACCCTCCACTCGTAAGCAATTGATTGATTGGGACTTGGATCGTTTCATCCTCGCTTATGATGGTGTGCGCTCTCATTCCTCCACTCGATCTCGCTCCACCCTGAAATTGATTCTCTCTCCCGCATGTAGGAAGAAATTTGATATATGTCTATCGACTAGATTGGTTGTTAGGATTCGATACGATCATGGATTAATAAAAGAAAGGGTTCGCCAAGCTTGTAAATCTGTTGTTCGTAGATTAGCTCTCCCTTCTGCTTACCTGGATCTCGTTCGTCGTCGCTTTAGACTGGTATGGTCCAAGAATACGACTTTGGGGGACCTTTTATATAACTACCGATCTTTTTTCACTATTTCAGTACCGGTCTGTTGTTGTGCATCGTTGAACGATGACCTCCCTCGGAAGGATGGTCACATTTTGTTTCGATTCGGTGAAGTTTCTTTCATACCAGTCTAAGAATATTGTTTTACCTAAATATGAAACCAATACTCGTAGTCTTAGTAAGCAGGTTTCTACAACGCTTTCAGAAATTTTCAAGACTGGTGGGATTGCTTCATCTTTAGGTTTACATGACTGTACTTATAGTTGTTACAATAATAAGGATCTTTTGACTGTGGATGTCGTTCACGAGTGGAAGAGATTTTTTCACGGATTGGTTTTGTCACTTGTGTCCTCTAGATCACAATATGGGAAATACCTATGTGTGTTGACCGACGATTTATGGACATAGACTGGAGAAACTTTTCATCAATAATCCTGGTATGATTTCACTTGCAGATACTGAGGAGTTAGTGTTGAATGGACGTAAGTCGCTTTACAAAAAAGAAAAATTGACCCTATTGGCACCTTCGGCCACTGGGGCCAAATTAGGATGATCGTATGTCCTGCCAAAGCACAAGGATGTTAACAAATGGCGACCCATCTGTCCGTCATGGTCAGAACGTACTCAGAAAGGGGCCCGTATTACGTCGGCCTGTGTGAATGAGTTAATTAGGCGAATTCCGAAGCTGAGTCATTTTAATTTACGTAGTACTCAGTGGCAACCGGCCGGACGTCTGGCCCGGAATCCAGACGGTCCGGTTGTTTGTGTATGGGTTTGATGTCTGGTCCGGTAGGTCTGGATTGGGGCCAATTTTGAAAAAATCGAATTTTTTTGGGGGGGGGCCAGGACGTTTTTCGGGTCCTAGGCCATCCCCAAAAAATGCCCCCGGTATTTTTTGGCTGTTTCAGGGCCTGCCGGACGCCGCCAGACGCTTTCAACAACTCCGTCTGCTGTTGTACTACGCTGGTAGTTCATCGGATGAGGAAGCGCTGGCTGCAAAGCGCCAAAGAACATCAAGCTAGAGAGAGAGAGAGAGAGAGAGAGAGAGAGAGAGAGAGAGAGAGAGAGAGAGAGAGAG